ACCTGATTGCAGGTTGCTGCTAGTCTAGCAGTTGATAACAGCTCTTGGGCTAATGCCTTCATTGATCCACATTTATGCTAATCAAGTCTTAAGAAAAGTTCGAACACTATTAGTTAGCCCTTGAGTCTGAAAGTTCCTGCAATCACCATTTGGGCCCCTCCCAACCTCCTTTTCCTTTGCTGCTCATTTGCCTGGGCCAGGCCACTGCTGGGCTGCTGGTCACTATACCCTAGCTCACCATGCCTCAGACTTGTGAGGGGATGATGGCAGGCTCTGTGCTGTTGCTGCCCATGGTCCCAGCCCATGCTCCAGTCTGCCCATTCCACCTCTGTCAACACTTCTCCTGGGGATTAGTCGGCCAACTGGCTCCCTGGTTGCCAGGCTGACGAGGACAAAGGCTAGAATTTAACTTCAGGAACAAATTATATCAACTCTTCTAAATCCAGGGCTTATTGTAGATTGGTGGCATATCTTGGCTTGGAATAGTTATTTTCAAGTGCTAACGAGCCATGTTAGCTAGTCAGTACCATATTGAACAATGCAGGAGTAGGTAATAGGGTGAGTTCAGTGGTAGAGCATGGGTTAGCATGCACAAGGCCCAGGGTTCATCCCCAGTTCTGACAAAATAAATAAATGAAACACAAAAACAAAACAATAAAAGCCCCAGAATTTGGTTAGCACTCCTTGGAAGCCATCAGCAGAGAAGAGCAAGGTGAGCCTTGCTTTCTACTCCTTTCTACTCTGGATATGCTTGAGTTTCCAGGTATGATATTGTTAGAGGACTAAAAGCAAAGGTTTAAAAAAATAACACTTTGTTAAATGTTCTTTTAAGTCCATTATTCCTTCTTGTCAGCATTTATGCTACTACTCCAGGCAGAGGTCAGGCAGCAGGAATCCTGTTCTTCCTTGTGAGGAAGGTGTTACCATGACAATGACTCAGATGTCTCCTATAAAATATTGGGAATCTCTTCAATAGTGGTTGAAGCAGCTCAGATTTGAAAAACAGATATTCCATACCTGGATCTACCCCAGGATGGTAAGAGAACACTTACAGTTACTTTGCCTCATAGTAGTTGTTTAAAATTTATTTAACCCAAAACTCAGGAAGAGAACCCCTGTTCTTTTGGAGGTGTGTTTGCCATCATCAGACACATCCTCTGACTACAGGTGTTTCTAAATTGGAACGCTTCTCTTTCTGGTGCATGCATAACTGGTAACAGCTTCAATATTAGTTGTATAGATGCCAATATTGGATATATGTGATTTGGGTCCATAATCTAGTAACTTTTCTCCATATCAGATAGATGAAATCTGGTGTACCAGGAAATAGAAAAGCAGCAAAGCCACATTCTTGACCATTGGAAATGAAGATCTGCCAGATATCCCGTTCGTGACAGAAGAACACAATCCTAGTCCACTGTGTTGTTTGCTTTTTAAAGCCATCTGTGATGTTTCCTGTTAGGAGTCAGTCAAGGACTTACATGTCCCAAATTATAGCTAATTTACTGTTTTATTAATTTGAGGGGAAAAAAAAGTGGCATCAATTGGGAATTGTAGAGAAAGCTGAAAGAATTTTTATCTATTTATAGGATGCTTCTAAGAAGTCTTACAACACTATATTCTGTACTTAACAGGCAATTTTAAGAAAATTGTTTTGGAAAGAGCCAACCCAAATATCAACAGCTATTTGAGACTTTGAAGCAGCACGCACAAACTTAATTTCTCTAGTTCTGGCCTATATCAAGGAAAGCAGCTTGTTATAATACTTAAAGCAAAGGAGTGGAGGAGAAATCTAATTTTATTATATGAAGCATAGTCACTTTCACAATGAGTTAATGAAATAAAATAAAAAAAAAATGGTTTCCAAGCACATTGGATTCTTTGGTCCAAATAGTTCTTGTTCAATGTTTGGCACAGACCTACATGTGGGACACTAGATGAACAGAGAAAACAAATAAATGTGACCTTTATAAAGCTGGTATTTTCTTTATGAAGCCAAAAGGTGCACAAACACACAAATATTAGCCCACTCTTATTTTTGTCCCAGAAAACTTCTCTTTGGCTGTCGGTTTCTCTGGGTTCGATCCTTGGCTTCACTGCTTCTCATCTTGGTTCCCTGAGGCCTTGCCATCTGTCTAACTGGTAAAGGGCCCGATCTCTTCAGAATCCCTATCATCCAGTTGGAAACACTGCCCTCTGATTGGCCATTTTCCTCTTCGTTCTCACCCAGTTTATTTGCAACCAACTCCAGCATCTCGGTGCAGGTGGCTTTACCTTAGCCAGTTACTTTAGGATTAGCAATTACTGGAAGGAATAAAATCTGCATTGAAGGGTGGAGCATCTGTTATTGCAGTGATCTTGGCTTGGAGAGTCTAGGGACTTGGAGAAAGTCTAATTCTCAAAGGTGAGGCTCTCCCTGCGGTGCTCTTTCTTTGCCTTTCATCTTAAATGTTGCAGCACTTTCAGGTTTAATCCTTTGATCTGTGTGAAGTTAAATAAGACCATCAAGAGCAATGTGGCAGAAGCCCACTACTTTTTTCTGCCTGACAGTAAATCATCCCCCTTACTGTCTGTGCTCCTGTGATTCTTGTCTGAAAATCTTGCAGAGCCATTTAAACCTTTGCAGTTGTCTAACTCACATCTTGGCAATCTTTTTTTTTTTTTTTTTTTTTTAATTTTTAAATCTGCTCTTGCCCTGGCCCCAAGTATGTTTTTGAAGTTACCCCCTCACTATCCTCCATCTTGGTTTATATCCTATAGCCTGAATACTTTTGAAGCCATGCTAGGTAAGATATTTGTTAACCTCTAAACATACATAAAGAACTAAGTTAAAAACCAGTAATAATGTGGTCGCTGAAATGTCTCCATATTTTCTTTTCTTTTTTTCTCCCCATGTTTTCTTATTATCCACATTAGTCATCACTGCAAGAAATTGTGGGRGTGGCAACAAAATAAAGTGGACAAAATAACTCCCACGTTTAATGACCTAATTTCCTTTCTATTCTTACCTCCTTACTTAAAGCTTGAATTTTCTTCTGTTGAGCACGATGCTTTAACATTATACATTTTGCTTTTATTTTATAAAGCAGCCTCAAATCTTGAAACTAAAGATTTTTAATTGAAACTTTTTCTATTTATAAGAAACATCTCTCAGTATTTATTAGAATTTCAATTCCAAAATAGTGAGTTAGTAATCACTTTTTAATTATTAAATACTTTCTGGAAAGCAGTTTAGTTGCTAACACAGGTATTCTGGCATCCAACTGCCTGAGTTTCAACTCAATGTGTCTACACAAATCACCAGGTGATTATCTTGGGAAGGTGTTTATATTTTTGAGCCTCAAGTTTCTCCCCCACAGCAATGTTATGGGAACTAAATGAGTTTATACATAAACACATGTACATATACCTTACTCATCTTTCAGCATTATTGCTGTGTCCAATTTTATTAACCAAACAACACCTGGCAGAAAATAAATGCTCTATAACTATTAGCTACTGCCATTACTATTTACTTTATTTATTAAAACAGTCATCTGGTAGACATAATCCTCACTTTATGATGAGGTAACTAAAGCCAAAGGAGGTTATTGAATTTGCCCAAGGTCACTGAGCTGGGGAGTGTGCACTGCCAAGGTTTGCACCCAGGTTCCTTTAACCATGAAAGCCTCCTGCTTACCCAAGGAGTCTGTCACTGCCACTTTATTGTGGCGCCGTAGTTCCATAGATGTGGTTGGATTGTTAGGAAAATCATGCTTGCATCCATCCATAAAGGTTTATTTCCTGATATTTTTATAAAGTAGTTACAAGTTCCCTCGGATAACAAATTTGTGCTATTAGATTGCACAGAATTTCTTGGCACACATCCAGCTTCAGTCTTGCTCTTATGAGAGAACCTTTTAGAAAGTGGGAGGGTCAGGTGTATTCCTTAACTTAATGTTTCTTCCTGAGAAAAGAACCTTCATGGATAGGCTCCCATTGCATGTGGGGCATTGCATATGGCACTTGAAAGTAACCTGAATCCACGTTTGTGCTCATTGCCAGATAGTGCTCATAGATCAGAGTTGTCACCCAGTGTGTAAAATAGAGAAATGGTGAGTTTTTGTGTGGCTCATTGACCTTTTATCAGTTATTTAACCTTTGTAATACCATCTCTGACATATGTCGGATGTCCTGGCACTGTACTGGAGTTTGGTGAACAGGCTGTGGCTGAATTAATGACTGAGTGGCTCACAGACATTAGGAAGACTGTAGCTATAAGGGAACTTCTCACAGTAAAGAAGGGGTGGGGTGGGTAGAAGAGAGGCTGTTTGGTTCTGAATCCAAGGAATAAGTAGTGTTTGTCTTTGTATCCTTTTCCTAATTATCTGTATCTCCTTTCTATTATATCATTTCCCTTGATCTTCAAGATACCCTTTCAGTTCAAGGGCACACACTTTCACATGCAAATCTTGATTTTTCCTGTTTAGTTTTTGGTGCATTTGCACCTTTCTGCTGAGTCCCTTGTCTCCTTAAACAGAGAATCAGTAGCTCAGTGCTGGGCTCCAGTTGGAGCAGTGAATCTGGTGGGACAGCTGTTTTCTGTTTCCTTAATCCCAGCAGAAGAGCCTGATTCACAGTGGAGAATTATCTTTGCCTTGGTCAGTTATGGTTGGATGTTTAGGAATTACTGTGTTTTGTGGAATGAGTTATTGCCTAACAAGACACTTTTCATTCCTTAAGAAAACAAAACAAAACTCAAACAGGATCTTTTATGTGTCGGAGAGAGTACTGAATGAATAACAAACTGCAAATTTCCTTTCAGCAATCACATTACATCTAGAATCAAAGGGAGAAAGATGTCTTCAATTCTTGATAATGCATGATCATATTTTAATGTGGGAACTTTTAAAAATATGTCTCTAGGTGGTTAGAGGCAGGGATGGATATTTGGTGGTTATGACTAAATCTTTTGTTGTTGAATTTCGGTTAATGTAATAATTTGACTTTTTCTCTTTCAGCTGTTCCATTTCCTCCAAGTCACCGGCTCACAGCAAAAGAAGTGTTTGATAATGATGGAAAACCTCGTGTGGATATCTTAAAAGCACATCTCATGAAGGAGGGCAGGCTGGAAGAGAGTGTTGCATTGAGAATAATAACAGAGGGTGCTTCCATTCTTCGACAGGAAAAAAACTTGCTGGATATCGATGCACCAGTCACAGGTAAGTCCTGAGAATGGAGTCTGCCCACTTGTGCCTACACTGAGTCTTCAAATACTTTACCATCTTACTCTTTACTGTTGAATCTCCACTGAAGGACTAAGGATAGAATGTCTACAAAAATATTTTTTATTTTCTTGTACTAAGTACCTATAAAATTGTCATGTTCTAAAAGTGGTGTGCAATGTAGATGTAGTGAAAATATTCTGATATAATTAAGAATTGATACTCTCTGCCAGTGGAAACATGAAGTGCCATAAAGCATACAGATTTATTCACTGGGAAAGATTAGGCTGAGTATTGTAAGTCTTCTACAGTGTTGACAAAGTCACCAAGTTAAACAGTGGTTCCCAAAGTGTGATTCCCAGACTGACATCATCATTGCCATCACCTGGAAACCTGTACAATGTGAACTCTCAGGGCCTACTCTCTGACTAGTGAATCAGGCAAATCTGATTCACTGGGGGGAGGCCCAACAACCTGTGTTCTATCAGGTCCTCTAGTTGTGTGGTCCTGTGGGTTCTAATGTACATTAAAGTTTGAGAAGCACTAGATTTTAGAAGAAGTCTGAATTTCTCTCTTTCCTATGGCATTTTCTACCTAGAAGATGAGTTTTTTAAATATTTTCTTTAGTTGTCAGTGGACCTTTACTTTTATTTATTTATTTATATGTGGTGCTAAGACTCAAACCCTCACATATACTAGACAAGAGCTCTACCACTGAACTACAACCCCAAACCTGGAAGATAAGTCTTTGTTTTTTAAATTTTTTTGTTCTGTTACTTCTTGTGGACAGATACGTATTTTGTGTAAGTTTGCTTCTTTTAGGCCATAACCGTTAAATCTTATCAGAAAAACAGAGCACCTAATACCCATGGAATTTTGATTGACTGTTTGTGGAGTCTGCTGTACTTGAAAGTTTTCATTTTTAAAGAAACTAAAAATGATTACTATTCCTGGAAATATTTTTATTTTGGCAAGGGGAAAACATTTAGACATAGAATATTGTTCTTTTTGAAAGAAAGGGGTCATTTGAAAGTATCTCATGTACACTATGAAGAGTTTCTTTCTTTTAAATTTTCATGTACTTTTATTGTCCTTCATATACATATTTGAGTGTGCCTGTTAGAAGGAAAATAAGCTGTCTTGAACATCAGACTAGGCCATTCTTTATCAAAACATTTCTAATAATTCCTATTCCAAAGAAACTGGCCTTATTCACATATTAGTTTTGATTAGCAAGGCTATTTTTCTTGCTTTTAACATAGAAAAAAAAATGACCATGGGTAGAGGTTGGCAGCAGGAAGAGTCTGCTCTAGTAGTTTTAACCTATCGATGGGCCATGGGCAACAAAATCAAGAGCTAACCCTGTGCCCGGCACTGTGAACATATTATACAGTTGAGTTACGTGTTATCTCCAGCTCCCAGGACTGTAAAAATACAAGGATAACACATGCTTTACTCTCTTGCATACCAAAATTCTAAAATTTTAAAGTGTCTATTACTTAAGAATCCACATTGGGGTCTGGGAATGTAGCTCAGTGATAGAACACTTGTCTAGCATGTGCCAGGCCCTGGGTTCAACCMTAGTACTGGTGAAAAGAATAAAAAAAAAATCCATTGCAATGAATTCCCACCTAATATGTTATTAATATAAGCATTATATAATATCTTTATCATTAATTTTTATTAGAAAAATGGCATGATATTTTATTTACTTTACTTTTTCTTCACTTCCAATGAAGAGTTCATGTTGAATTCACTAATGAGCCTTGTAGGTGTTAATGGAAGTGATAATTATAGCTAAAAGGAAATGTGTAAAATAGATATTCAAGGTAAAATGTTTTCTGGAATGGCTTAGTTATCTATTGTTTGATTAGGCTCTGTCCTGAAGGATCACACAGAGAGGATTTTGGAAGTCTCTTTTATAAGGACACTGATCTCAATCAGTAGGGTTCTGCCCCCAGATCTTAATCACCTCTTCAAGTCCCTACCCCCAGATACCTGCCCCTTGTTGATTAGATTTTAACATAGGCATTCCAGGGAAACATCCAGACCATAGCAACTGAGTTAGGATATATATTCCAGTTTATGATTTTTCTAAGCAAAAGCTGAAACATGGGGTGCATTCCAAGAAAAAGAGGGTACATTCATCAGATAAAATGACAATCTCTATGTATTTTGAGATAAAATTTAAGCTAATCTGAAATCTGGAATGCTCTGAAATTTGGAATTTTTTGAGCATCAGGTGTCTTCTCAAAATTTCCAAATTTCAGAGCATTTCAGATTTTTAGATGAAGAATAAAGTCTCTGCAAATATTCCTAAATGTACAAACTCCAAAATTTGAAACACATCTGATCCCAAGCATTTTGGATGACAGATATTCAACTTGTACTTCTTATAATTTATCAGTGAAATTTTACGATACATGATTGTATTCCAAGATTTCATTTTATCTGGACAGCTGAACAAACAGGATAGTATTTATTTTTAGATTTAGAATTTATTCTTTGGGCAGTTGAATCAGTAAAGTCTTCAATATTAGGCTGTGCAGTAAAAGGCATAGTCTGCACTTAAAAATCTTCAAGATAAAGTACTCTTTATGCAATTCAGAACTCCATACTTTAGAAGATAGAGAATCTAAAAATTTAGAAAAGAAGGAATAAGAAGAAGAAGAAGGGAGGGGTGAGGTGGGGAGAAGGAAAATAGTACAGTTACAAATGAGAACCTGTGAAGAAAGATTAAGAGAAAGAAGCAAGGACTTCTTATTAGGGAGGGTAAAAGCCTGAACCCTGACCTTCTAGTGGTTTTTAATGATATGCGATATAATATCTCACCCGGGATATGTCAAGTTCCTAAAATTGCTAAGGTGGTGGGTTAAGGTCGAAAATAAAAACCCAGTAACTTTTTGAGTAGAATATAAACTCTCAAAAGGATGTATCAAATATATTCTAATTATACATGAAGTTGTTTCTCAGCTTTCTCTTTATCCTTCCCTCCTATTTTGTTGATAAAAATATTTTATTTTTAATTGTTTAGGGAGGAATCATGCTAACATCTGCCATGGTTTACTCACATTCAAAAGAAGCCTGGGAATATATGTCCTAGATATTGGAACTCTGAATTGCTCTTCTTGGCATTAGCATTTCTTTAATGTTTAAGGGCACAAGGCCTCCTCCTTCATGTGTACATAAAGGAATGCAAATTTTCTATTCATTTAGAATTTCCCCCCTCAAATTCTGTATGTTTTACTTTGGAGAAGACAGACGGACCAGGGTGTTTCCTGCATCTGTCCCTTGGAAGAGAGTGATGAAGCAGTGTGAGTGTGGACGTGGAAGCCAACTAGCCATCTTCTCTGAGTTCCCTGTCAAAACAAGAGGGGTACCCCACAAGTTCTTTTCTTTCCTCTAAGCTGACTTTCCTGGTTCAAGTGGCAGCTGTTTCCGAGATTGAATTTGAAGTGTGTATTTCTGAGTTGGAGGCATCTTGTGAAGAAAATAAGCATCACTCTTTGACTTTCTTTGAAAAATTGAGTTGAATTTATCTCAATACCCTTGCAAGTGTACATATGAAAGATTCAAAAAAGCTTCACATATCAGTGTGGCCACTCATTTTAGAAATTCAATTTAGCAAGCATTTACTGGGCATCTGCCTGGTACAGGAGGTATGGATTATACACATGGGAATAAGACCAGGTTCTTGTCCTCCAAGGCTCAGAATGTAACAGGAAAACCCGAAACTGTTACTTGTCCAAAGATAAGTCTATCAAAGTATTGATTAGATTAAAGGTCTAGATCCTTTCAAACAAATTAAGAAGCATCCAAATAAATATAGCTAATTAATGGACAAAAAGGTTTTCTGTCGTTTAAGTGTCTACGGTTTCTCTAACAGTACTCAATGATGATTATATTCTGTTTTTGAGTTTAAGAAACTGCTAAATAGCTGAGATTCTAACTGACCTGAAGATGATTGAGATCTGTTTTAGAAGGTTAGTACCATGCATGATGTATGAGATGTAGTCCTTGACTAGAATATTCAAGGTCCACTTGCAGAATCAGACACATAAACAGATAATTACTATATAACATATGTATGTATTTACCAGGGATTAAACCCAGGGGCGATTAACCACTGAGCCACATTCCCAGCTCTTTTTTGTATTTTATTAGAGATAGAGTCTCGCTGAGCTGCTTAGGACCTCGCTAAGTTGCTGAGGCTGGGTTTGAATTTGTGATCCTCTTGCCTCAGCCTCCTGAGTCACTTGGGATTACAGGCATGTGCCACTGCACTCAGCCACTATATAATTTTTAAAGATCTGTATTGAAGGTATCTAAGAACTGGTGTGGCATTCAGAGAAAGGAATGTAGAGAGCCATGAAAATATTGACATATTACATGATGTTTAAATTGAACCACGTATTATGAGTAGAATTTTACTTTGTAAAAATGCTAGGGGCAGGGAATGGTGGTTCACACCTGTAATCCCTGCAACTCTGAAGGCTCAAGCAGGAGGATCCCAACTTCAGGGCCAACTTGGTCAACTTAGTGGGACCCTGTTTCAAAACAAAAAAAAATAAAAAGCCTGGGGATGTCGCTCAATGGTATAGCACTCATGGCTTCTATCCCTAGTATCCTCCCAAAAAAGAAAAATAAAATGCTGGGGGAAGGGTATTCTAGATTAAGACAAGAGCATATTGATATATTGATGACTCTGGTGGTGTTTTGTGAAGTGGCAAGGCTTGTTCTTGGAGGATTGTTGTGGAAAGAAAGGGTTTCAGAGGGTGTGAGAGGTAGAGGGGCCAGTGAGTGGACCTGGTTGGAAGGCCAGGGTCACATTCTAAAGCTCTGTCAGTAGTGGGGAGTCCATGCTTTCATGGGTCTTTGAGCAGGGCCCTTACATAATGAAGTGAGTGCCTAGGAGAGCATCCTGGTTGAGATAAAGTAGGGTGGGGCAGAGGAACTCTTGGGAGAGAGGTTGATTAGGAACCTTTTATACTCCATTA